AGAGGTGAAAAACTCAATCTTTCTTTGAACTGCTAACAATTTATGTGCCAAAACATGTGATATGCAGTCACATGCTTCCATTTTAAAGTGGCATATGCCAAACCTTTTGGGAACCCACTGCTTCAAAAAAGGAATGTTTGCTGTGTTACCTTTTGCTCAGATCATTTATTTACTATATTTTCTATATATTCATCTATAAAGCAAGTATTTCACCCCGGGATTATTAAAGTTTTCTGATTTCTGATTCTGATTCTGAAAGTTCTTGATGATTAATGACAATGAGGCTGACTGGTAATTAAGCAATTATTGTCCAGCCACATAGGTTGATAACTGATTTTTTCTTGTCAACATTGTGGTCCATCCTGTCCTGAAGGCCAGGATTTGAACTGTGAATGAAGGTATTCAATCCAAGCAATATTTTCTTTTTCTCCAACAAATCCCATGAAAAGACCAAAATCAATAATGTATCAGCCTGTTTTAGAAATTTTCCTAACCTCGATAACCTTGTCTGTAGCACAGGCCCACAGCATTTTTTTTATAATTTTATTAATTTTTCTAATACAGAACAAACTGTACGCAAGCTCACTCAAACAGGAGTGAACAGTGCATTTGTTTTCTTTGTGGAATCAATTTGGAATCACTTGTGTCCATCGTAATGAAAGAAGTGCAGCTGTGAAAAGGTGTCTCAATTTTGTCGCCCCTAGCAGCGTAGGGGTGTCAAGTCGACTGACTTTCCTTTAGTGCCACCAGCGGTTGTGATATTTTTGGTTGTGGTCTAAATAGGCACAACAACTAAATTGCAGTGAAGCTTTGGTACGATAACCAAAGGCTCCAGAAAGATAACTATAATCCACTTTTGTGGCACCTTTTTCATCTACTACAATGATCAAGTCAAATGTTCTATTTGTCAAATATCAAATACCCAGGCAAAACCAAATCAGACATTCCCATCCCAGATGTACTTATTGTGTTTAATAATAATAATAATACTAAAACGATTTTAATTTAAAGAGCCGCTTTTCTAAATACCAAAGACAATGACATGAGCAAGAACATCAATCGGTAAAACAATATAAAACAGTACATTACATACGTTAAAGCTAAATAGCAAATGTTAGTACGTTTACATGCTAAACTAAGATGGTGAAGATTGTAAACATTAACATTAGAACGTTCGTACTATACCCATGAGTATATTAGTATGCTGATTTTAGCATTTAGCTCAAAACACCATTTTGCCAAAGTACAGCCTCACAGAATTATTAGCCATGGCTGTTGAATCTTAGTCTTGTTAGTAATTTTGGGACAAAAATGGAAATCTATGATACAGAGGAATATGCTTTACCAGGCCTTGGCTACACAACAATACTGCTACTAGCATGTGTTGTTGTTGTTGTTGTTTTTCTCATGGCATTTGTTAACAATAAGAGAAAAGTTGCATTTCACCATTCTTGTCCTTTAAAAACCTTTAAAGGTTTCCAGCTGTCAGCCTGTCAGCCAGGCTTTACCTGGTGGGGTATCCCTGACGTGACACACGGCAGAGGGGTGACAGATGCGGCTGCACGCTGAGGTGTGTTCAGATTAAACAAGCAAGACACGTCTGATTACAAATGCACAGGTGAGAGCCATGGAAAGAGATATGAAGATGGGAGAGAAGCATGGTAGGAAGAGAGAGAAATTTTGGTGATCCAGACGTTTTACTACCTGTCTCTGAAAAGCTCCTCATCTGTTAATACTGGCAAATCACATTCTTCACTCGTATCGACAGCACAGGAGACTGAGCTACTGCAGGCTACATTAATTGTGTGTGTGTGTGTCTGTGATGTGCGTGCAAGCATTCATGTGTGAACGTATAGGTATGAGACCAAATCCATGTGTGAATTACACTGCGGAACAGTACATTAATAATAGATCAACTCTCCTTTTGTTTGGGACGTAAACGTGATGAGTGGGCCTTGTAATTGGTTAGTTTAATAACTGGAGACAAACCGAGTGTTCTCTGCCTCTCATTCACACACACACACACACTTGCAATTACACACCACAGAAACATGTTGAAATTGTAATTCTCTGTCAGACACTGGAACACACACACACTCCACACTCATGTCAGAGAGGCATTCACATGCTGGTCTGTTTAATTTAGGTTTGGCAGATTATAGTAATTATGTTAAAGAAAAGATTTTCCAGAGTAATTTGCCCTTTTCTGTCCTTGAAGACTGAAACAGCACTAGTGGAAGGATGATCATACTCCTTTTCTTTTACTCTGCTACTTAACTGTTCAACCAGATTGGAAAATATGTTTGCTTAAAGGTTGTAAAAGCATCCAGGTTTTTATTTATTCTGCTTGGTTTTATGGTAACAATAATCTCCTTGATCATCAGGTTACTTTTCCTATGAAAGTAACCACAGCCATAACAGCAAACTATCCTTAATATTAAAATGCAGAGCATGTGTATTGTGTGTTTGTGTTTGTGTGTGTGTGAGGGAGGAAGGATTTGTGTGTATGTACTGTGGCAGCCAAGAGAAGCATAGTGACGTACATAAATTGGAAATACAGAGTATGTTATTGAACTGCACCTCTGGGCATGCTTTCCATTCAACACTACCTCAGAAAAAATGTGTGTACATATGTTTGCAAGTGTGTGTGTGTGTTTGCTTGTGATCGAGAGAGCCAGTGTAAACTACCCATGAAATTAAGACTCAGAGCAGAGTTTTCTGTGTTTGATGGTGTAAATGTGGCCATTTGCGTCTGTGTGTGCAAACTATCCTTAAAAACAGGATGTAGACCAGTAGACATTCCTGTGTGTATGCATACGTGTGTGTATGTCTCACCATTGTCCGATGGCAGAGTGGGGAGGGGGATTTGAAGAATCTTTCGAACATGCTGACAGCTTGTCAAGGCCCTCCTACGACTGTAATGAATTTCAGCCTTTTGTGGTGTGTGGTCCCGCTGCACTGATAAGCCCTGGCATTAATACAGTTAACAAGGAGTGTGTGTGTGTGTGGGCTGACATGGTGTTTACATGCTTTTGAGCAGAAATAGCTTGAAGCATTGCGGTGTTTGCCAATAATGATGAATATTACGTTGTTGAATTTGCATGGCTGTTAATGTGTGTGTGTGTGTTAGTGTCTGTGGGTGTGTGGGTGTGTGTGTGTATGTAATAATAAACAAGCATATGACTAATTACATTTATTCATGTTCTGTACTTAAGTACAATTTTGAGGTGTTTGAGTATTCCGATTTTATGCTGCTTTATACTTTTGTTACACACAAAAAGATGAGGAATAACAACATCAGTCATATCAGAACAACATGTTTACGTCAAGTGACAAAACACCTGTTGTGACCGTATAAATTATCACTGGAGCAAATGAGGGCGTCATGTGACAGTAATATAGAGTGAAAAAGTCAATTCCAGGAGGAGGTAGGATTGGATGGACAGACATTTCCACCATTGTTACCTTACCATAAATACATGTTCATTTTTATAACCATTTATGTATTGTTATAGAGCAGGGGTTCACAAACATTTTTTATGTCGAGGACCCCCACAATAGATGCACATTAGACCACAGAGTCCCCAATTTGAGAGGATTTTGTATTAAAGGTCCAGTGTGTTATATTGAGGAGACTCTAATGGCCAAAATATACTATTCATAGGTATATACATAGGTAGGAATGTCTTTGACTTGTCTTTGTCTTCTGTGTACTTCTTTCACCACTTGAAAAGTCTATCTGCAAACTTTTTCTTATTCCATATTTTTTTACTATGGACCTGAGTTTCAAAATATTAATATGAATCCTCATCCCTGTGTTGGCTCTCTGCCCTCAGTTGAATAAAATAATATATAAAATGACAAGTCTGTTTCCTTGCACCAAGCTCTGCATCCACACACACACACACACACACACACACAGGCTGTTGTCGAAGTCGGGCTGGCATGTATCTTTGTGCCTTGTCATCACATGCTCCGACTGAGCTCTAAATGTCACTTGTCTCTCTCCGCTTCATCTGCCTGACTCATCCTCCTTGTCTTTACTCTGCATTTGAAATGCTTCTGTGTGTGTGTGTGTGTGTGTGTGTGTGTGTGACACTGACATGTGGTGGTGTGTATGCGTTTGATGGACACACTGCTGCTCTCCACCTCCCTTTGTACGGCGCCTGCAAGCACAATGACGCTCACTGCATTGATTTTCTCGTGCCATTTTATAATTATGTCTCTTCTCTTTTTATTCGTCCTCCCCCTTTTTCTCCCTATTTCTCTCTTTTATCCTGTCTCTCTTATCTCCCCCCTCTCTCTTCTATTTTTCTAATTCCATCCCCCTGATCCATTTTTATGCCTCACTGTGCCCGTGCTTGTTATCTTGGCCCTTTCTCTTTTTTTCCCTGTTTGATCTCAACTTCTTAATTTCCTCTCTCATCTACGTCACTTCGCTCGGTTTCGGTTTGCACCCGGCCCTCCCCGCTCTTCCTGTGACGGTCGTCACTGTTTCTCTTTTTGCTCTTCTGTGTTCATTCTATTTTTCTATTTCTTGCCACTTCTGATTGGACCTTGTTAAAACTTTAAAATAGGTCTTGGGTGATCAGATCACAAGTGGACAGCACTAAATACAAGTGACCACATTGTGACACATTGTGATCCGATCCCTCAAACCACTTGACTTGATGTTTTGTATGATAAACGCTAAGTCCCCGACAAGGGCGTAACAGGAAAATACGTCATCAATGCAAGATATGGTGGCACCAACGTTGTGTGTCGCAAATAAGTTTGTGCTGTATCTCAACAGTTGGAATAGTCTATACATGTACATTAGTGAAACAAATCTGACACAGGTGTGAATGCCGATGTGTCTCGGCTGTCCAAGACACGGTTCGGTTAATCGAAATGCATTTTAAAACAAAGTGTAAACAAGCCTTCTGTTTCACCCCCAGCCGTCTTTTCTATTATTTTCTCTAATTAACCTTTCACTGTCTTCTGTTTTTTTTTCTCTGCAGCCTCTCTGGAGTGCACTCCGTCTTCGCCATAGCCTGGCGGAGCAGGAATACCCGGTCACAAAAGGACGTAGACACCCACCGCCTTGCCAACATCCACTCAACATGCGATCCCCAGACTTCTCCAGGGAACAATCACAACTCTCTGTCTCATGCCTTTGGTCTCCGTCCTTGTCTTCTCCAAAGACCAATCTGGAAAAAAACTCATGCCTTCTTCCCAGCCACTCCTGAGAAGCTCCCACGAGTTCTGACTTGCTTTGTTTCCTCGCAGTCCAAACAATTCCTCACAGCTTCCTGGAATCTGACCAATAGTTTCCATTACAGGCGTCCCATCTCCCGTCATTTCTGACCTTTACAGTCAAACTTCCACCAGGCCTCTCACGCTATAACTCCTACACTCCTCTCAGACATCACTTCACTCCCTTTCTCCCAAGAACCACGCCGGCAGCCAAGCCCTCCTAATCTTCATCTACCCAGAATTTAACACTTGCTTGGCTGGGTTTCCTAAAAGCATTTAAACACAAAGATAATCTCTGCACCATTGCCTTGTAATTGGATAGTCTCGTGTGTGTGCTGATTTGCTTTTAGGGAACTCACCTACCCTTACAGTAAACAGTGACACCTATAATCCACATAAATAATTCTACATTCAAACGCAGTCTCTTGGTCTGTTTGTGGCATGTTAGCGCCTTCATTGTAGCACTTAAATGTGTATTTCCTCCCATACAATACTCTTGTGGCGCTCTGCTGAGCTTTCAATGGTGGCAACATAATGACTGTCCACAAGACCACTACTATACACCTTTCCTCCCCTTATTCTGCCTCCTTATCTCCTCACAGACTATTCCCACAACCGCAAAAGGGGCGAGACATTTTACACAATCTTGTATGTGTTTTGTGCTCTTTCTCTCTCTCATTCTGTGCATAGATCCTGTAAACGGTGTTTGACAACGCCCAGTGAAGTGTCCATATCTCTCCTCACTTTTTGTCCTCTCCATATTGTGGATCACTCTCTTAGGGAAGACAGTAAGCCTCAGAGAACTTCACTGTGAAAACAACCAACAGTTAGTCTGGGAATAAGCACTGAACCCGGCATTACATTAGGTATGGTTAAGTTGGCTCCCACGAAATGAACGACATCGATGTGAAAAAGCAATCTGTAGGAGATGAAGCAGAACCTAAAAAAAAAAGGGATGAACTGCGAAAAGGAAATTCCCTTGGTGTCCCTAAAAGCACCGTGCCAGTAGGTAAACTGAAACAAAGGGAAAGGGAGTGGCTGAAAAAAAAAAGGAGCAGGAACAGCAAAAGGGCTTCGTGAACCGAGAGATACTTCGACTTGAAATTCTTTACCGCTAATGAGGAGAGAAAAAGAAGAAAAGACATCACGGATAACAAAAGAAGAGCCTTTTTCATTTCCTCCCCTCTGTATCGCCGACTCTTTATTGCTTTGTCTGCTTTCCATCTCACTGCTTGAAACTATTTTTAGATGAGATATATTGAAAATAGTGTAGAAAGGAGATGTGCTGTGTGCAAAAGCTCATCATGGAAATGTTGTGTGTCAATCTGTTAGGAAGATATTCTATTTATCTCTGATAAGAAACTCAAATCTCTGTCAATGTGAATAATGGCCACTCACTGTTGATATTATAGGTATTTTAACTGCACTTAAAAAGCACATCTGTCTGTCATGAAACAAAACAGCTGTTACTCGGACCATTGTCATCTTCTTCATTATGTCTATGAGTGTAAATACATTATAAAATCTTGTAGCCAGTATAATGACCTCTTAATATCAGCCACTGATTTCAGTGTACTGGAGTGATATTTATCAAAAGCTCGTATCCACGCCGGTGTAGCATGAGCTGTTGTCATGGTAACAACATCTTTCCTCTTCTGGATCAGAGCTGTCAGTCAGAGGAGCATAAAATAGCTGTTGCGGTTGGAGCGTGGGGGGAAAAGAAGGGGGTCAGCAGTCGGCCCCTGAGAGCCATTGCGTTTTAATGGGATTCCATTTGTACATGGGTCCCACAGTGTCCAGCAATTCATTGTTTGGATAGTAGCTGTAGCCAAATGCGGCAAAGACCTGTGAGCAGATTGAATAGTATTGATCAGTTCTTCGGGACATACAGTCAGTCCTTTAGGATTACAAAAGCTTCAAGGACTGTGTGTGTGTGTGTGTGTGTGTGTGTGTGTGTGCGTTTGTGTGTGCTGACAGTCACATAGGAATGGAGTTGTTCAGGCTAAAACACAAGTGGCTATTTCACGGTCGGCTGGAGATGCCGTGTCCATGTCTGTCAAGGCCACAGGAGGAAGGGGAGGTCTCGAGCTTCCGTTAAATTTGGAATTTCTCCACTCCTCAGTATCAGGTTAGAAGCCGTGAAAAATGTGAACTGGGACAAATGGTTTGCAGTGGTGAAAGCTTAGTGAGTTTGAGACCTGGATTCATTAATGCAAATGCCCCTTTCCCCTTTTAAATAATATGAGTAATTGATCATCATTCTTTCATTATACATAATTCTGTATACCCTCTTATTGGCATTAAAGGAAAAATTAGCAATTTTGGGGAATACACTTATTCAATGAGATGAGAAGATTGAATCCACTCATATTTAAGACAATTAGCTTAGCTTAGCATAAATACTGTATACATGGGGAAACAGGTAGCCTTACACTGTCCAAAAGCAACAAAAGTCCACTATTTAACAATTTACATCTAATTTGCTTGTTTGTCATTTTTGCACGTTGTTTGTATGAACTTGCTTTTGTTCTTATGTTCAAATACTTCAGACCACTTTTGAGCAAAAGTTACAATTTAGCTGGAAATCATTTGCTTCTTGCAAAGGGTTAAATGATAAAATTGATGCCACCTTTTATATTTGACCATTCAATATAGAGCTACATTCAGCAGCCAGTCAGGGTAGCTTAGCATACAGACCAGCTCTGTCCAAAAATCCACCTATCAGCTGTTTAATCGGTGCAAAAACCAAAGCGAAGAAATTATAGAATGACACAAATTGGATATAACATGTTCATTAATGAGCTTCAGATATGCTTGAGTGTGGATTTTGTTAACATTAGACAACAACAAAGCCAGGCTAACTGTTTCCCCCAGTTTCCAGTCTTTATTCTAGGCACTAAGCTACCCGTCAGACGGCTCCAGCTCTACACCGAGTGGTATCAATGGTCTCATCTAAGTCATCTAAGATTTCCCCGAATATCAAACTATTTCTTTTCGTTAAATTTGAAGTTTTTCTCGGATATGGTCAGAAGCCTTCAAATTTGCACATAAGAGACTGACAAAACCAAGGTCCATGCATTCCCAAATCCAGAGGGAGAAGAACACAAGGCTGACTTTGTGTGATCTCACAGTATATGAACCACTTGCCTTGGATTTCATCATAGTTTTGATTGTGGCCCTGTAAAGAAAGTGCTGTGTGTATTCAAATTCAATTGCAATTCTGCACTTCAATGTGGCTGTAAAGGATTATTGAAAGTGTTCTATTCCTTTTAACTCAAAGCGTCTTTGAAATTGATTTTTACAAATTTCATGCAGACAGTGTAAACTTTGGGTCAAGACCTAAATTTGCTTTCAGGCTTTCCACTACATAACAAATGTAGCAGTCTGTTTTAGTGACCCATATCCCAGGCTGCAGCACTGTAATAACCCTGGATGTAGGCAGTAAAATATTGATTCTTTATTGTTACTCTCCAGAGTGTGTGCTTGCTCCCTACTTGCAGGGGGAGGGAGCAAGGGGAATAGATTTTCCTCCAGAGGCATAAGGGAAACTTTCCACTGTATTTTTGGCTTTGATATCCAGGTATAACCAGCTCAAGATCTGGCAACTGTGCCAAGGTGTCCGAGGACTTGCCTAAACTTGCTCAGCACGTAGTCTCCCAGTACCTGTAAGAGGTTTGGCACACACTCATAGATGCTGATACACAGTGCGCTGTTCAACAAGAGAACACCAGACTAAACCTCACACAACGTTATTGCACAAGAACTTTCACACATGCTGGCATGCATGTAGAACTGCACCCAAACCCAGACTTTGTGTGTAAAATACACATACACTAGCACACACACAGCGACACTTACTATATACACACACATTTTTCTCAGCAAATTAGCAGTAAACACAGCCACAGCCGCTCACAGGTTTCACATTAGTTATGCATAAACAAATGTAGAAGCAAACATGTATGTGACGCCTCAAACACAATCAGAAGACAACAAATCTAAGATTTTTTTTCTGCCGTGTTGAGAGCATGTTTTGATTCTGTTCTGAGTGTTTTTGTAACCAACAGGCATGCAGACCAAGTCTCTACTCCCAATCTATCTACATATAAGGTGCCTAATGATGGATATTAATGACGATATTGACATCATGATGAGTATATATAATAAACAGATTAATCTTCATGTATAATGTGTTCTCTGTTTATTCCTGTGTGTGATTGAAAAACTAATAGTTACGACTACTTCTGAATCTTCTCACACTGTGCAAGGCTTTTTTTGTGTTTGTGTGTGTGTTTACATCTACTCACGCAGCTGATGTAGACTGAGTTTGCAAAAAAAAAAGAAATTACCTGACAGATGTGAAAGATGTTGTAGCTGAAGCGGTGTGACGTTGGAGTTTGGGGCAGGTCTCCTCTGGTTAGCACACTGCAGCCTCCATCAGGGACCTCTGGGACCCTGCAGGAGACGCTGTAGATCACAACTGGAAATCACTACGAGCACATATGCATTTTATGTGTTTTCTCAGTTCTAATGTGCGCACACACACGCAATACGTGTATCCACAGTATTTATTTTTCATTTACAGAGTTTGTAAGGCCACATTTCAAAACCAAATGAATGTGCAAACTCATGTCAAAAATAAATACCCTGGCCACAAACACTACTCATCTCCGATTGGCTATTACCTGCCGTTCTTTACCTTTCCACCTTTAATTTAGGAATACGTCCTGTTGGTTGCATTGCTGAGACAAAACACCAGCAAGAAACCAGTATGTGACTGACAGTATGAAGATAAGCAAAAGTATAAAACCCTTTCTTTTGAGCTGCATTAAATTACAACCACTTACAATACAATGCAATACATCAATGTGTGTAAAGTCATTATTTTAAAATGTTTGCCTTTTAATTCTAGGTATTCAGTTATTTTCTGGAAGGAATTTTATGTCTATTTGTCTATGTTTATGTTCTGCTGTATCTTTATTTATTTCACAAAAAGCTATGTTATTACATCCGATATAACAATACAAATGAGTATATAAGCAGTTGTATTTTTGACGGCTGCTCCAAGGCCACCTTAAAGTTAATTGTAATGATGTTAAAGTACCAGTTTGGAATTGGGTGATATAGTCTTACTTTACTCTTTGCCTTCTTGCTGAAAATTAGGTAAGGAGATTGATACCACTCCCATATTGTTCAATAAAGTCAGAGCCAGGAGACTGTTAGCTTAGCTTAGCATAAAGACTAGAAAAGGTGGGAAATAGCTACTCTGTCAAAAGTGTAAAAAGGACTTGTTGTGATTTAACTGGGGGGTTATTTGAGGGACTATTTCTTGGCCCTGCGCAGTGATACTTATGTAGGTTTTGTAGGCATTAAACAAGATGGAACATGTTAATTAGCTTTAAAAGTACAGGCAGATATATTTTTACCTTCAGTCAGAGGTAGCC